CAAGAAAAGCTCATTTTTTGCCATTTTCATGCGCGGAAAACCACGGATATGGGTTCCTCATGTCGAGAAGGTCCAAAGTTAAAAAAACTGAAAAACGAAATTCTGCCGAGCCGCTGTTTTTAAAATAGTAAACACCTGAGGACAGAAACTGCAAAAAAAGAATTTTAACAAGAATTCCTAATGACTACTACTATTGATATTCATGTCTCCACCGCGTCTCTCGATTCTACATTTTTATGCCAAAAATAAAGCGCGGCATGAAATCATATGCATGTTTTTCTACGGCAGAGGCAAAGCAATAACTCACCATGGAATTACCCATATCCTTTTGTATATCCGGTTTGAAGCGATAATATTCTATGGGTATTCCACCATACTGTAACAGTTTTGGATGAAATCAAGACAAGACCCCTAAATGAAATCTAAACTCACCTCAACAGCCCCTTCGTTCCCAACTACATTATTGAAAACACGTTCCCTAACATCAGCATCCCATTCTCCAGCTCCCAGTTGAATCTTGATTTTATTCACACCAACAGATCTCAAAGCAGATATGCAAGCATCTCTCAGCATCTACAAGATAAAAACCTTTTTTTTACACATTCACATTTGGGACTTTGCGCGCTAACCTCATTTACAAGTTCATCAAACCGCGTGGTCCCAACAGTAACGAAACAAGTCATCTAGAAGACACAGTGCAGTGACACAGACACATTGTCAATGGATACGTAATGAATTTGCGGTAGGATACCACCTCCAAAACGGTATAAACAGTCCATCTCATATTTATTGAGAAGCGGGGTATAAACGTACAAATACTTGCTCTTCAATCGATTGTCCATCGCACCAACCTCTCCCTCTCCGGTACCTTTACAGTGTCTTCCAGCCTTAGACGCTGAAAAGCAATTTCATACTTCTCGCCGAAGGATACAGAATGAGAATAGAAACATACTAGCGAATGTACAATTCCTTTCTGTGACTTCAGTTCTGATAGAATGTCGAAAAGTTGGAATTTGAGATGCTGGTTGAGTTCCCCTTTCTGAAGTTACAAATGTCCAACGCGAAAACGA